TGCCTGGGTCAGGACCAGTTGTAACTTCCAGGAGGCTGGTAAAGGCAATCCAATGCAGATCCCACTGCTCTAGTCCAAATGGGGAGCAATGAGGGCCTGGGTCACCATCGAGACTCATTTTCTATCCTTTTAACTTTTACATGTCTCTAACATTGTCTTTAGAAAAAAACACGTTTATTTCACTTGATATTAAGCAAACATTTGTTATAGAAGGGGGAATAAAGTAATTAACACCAAACTGTTGTATTTCAATTTTGATACTGTTTGTAATAATGTTATGTAGGGACTGTTAGTCTCCCAGAGTAAGGGTCAAACTTAGGAGTACCTGAATGTACAGACCTGGCTTTACTGTTAGTTTCCAGTGATGGTCTTCCATTGCCAGGTTTTTCGGAGTACAGAATTCCAAAATTCCAGGACAAATAGAATCACAGCACATCTGGAAAATGTCAGATAAGTGGATAGAACATTGGAGATGCAGCATAGATGAATCGGAGAGACTGCTTGCTCATTTTCCAAAGTTTCATTATATACTTTTCTTTTGGCTAGATTCCAAGATTAGGGGAATCCCCTGCTAGGAGAAAAGGAGTCTTTGAAAAAAAGAAGTTTTTGATGAAAGACATACATGGAGAAGTGTTCCCTGCCATCCGACACACCACACATACTTTTAAATTGTGTGTTGCTTTGTAGAAAATTTGCAGGATCAAGATTATTGCCTGCCACTGTTGTAGCACAAAGGAGTATCTAAATTGCATATTAAACATAAAAACAAGACATGATTTTTAACTTAGAGAAATGGACATGAATTTCAATAAAACATTTTATCATACCAATAAACTACAGACTATGTTTAAGCTTTTAAGATTACCAAATCATTTCAAGTATCAATCAGCACATTCTTATTCAAAGAAAACTCCTGAGATTGAATTTCTGCCAATTTTTTTAGTAAAACAACTGTACCATTAAAAACATCATTGTTAAAATCCTGGAATTCAAGGATTACTATGGAACTCTTAGATGCTTTTCAATGTGAGAGTTATTTCACATTTACTTGTACTTTATGTTGATAATTGACTTTTCTTCTTCATCAATTTATTCATTTCTGTTCTACTTGTTTATTCCAGAAAGAATGGCTTCAAAACAAAATGTATTTGTAGCTTAGAAGTATTGAGCAAGTTTCAGTCTTATGATTTCTCTTATATGTCATCATAGACAGCCCACTCTCCTGACAACATTTAAGATTCTTTCCAGTAATTACATTAAATAATATTTGAAATGTTACTTCCAGGGAAGATGCATAATTCAGTTATAGCACATATTCCTTATGTGCTGCCGTTGTCAAAGTATGTGATAGTGGTTTACATAATATAACAGCATGACTGATTCAGAGCACCTTCAGATATAATCACAGGGGGAGTGATAAACTGAGACATAGTCATTCTCAGAGAATCAACCTATGACTGTTGGTTAGAAAGTGATGAAGTGTAAGTGAAATAGTTCTTTGAAATGTGACCAGTAAAGCAGGACCAGTAAGCAGTGGTTTAATCTGCCATGCTATAGAGTGAACTTTATCATCATGCTGACAGAGGCCAATCAGCTGTTTAATATGGCTTCATTGTAATTTTCAATAAAAAAAAATTCTTGCTGTGTTACACTGATGCTGACTGAGTCCAGGCCTAGCAATCCAGTTAAGCTGTATAAAGTTACTTCTCTGCTCTGCCAACTTTAGAACAAGGAAGCTTGACAAAGGATGGGGTAGAGAGGCTCACTTCCTGTTTATAGCAAGATCATGAGATGTTACAAGATCCTATCTATATGTCCCAACAGACTTTCTAAGTCCAAACAAACAAACAAAAACAACAACAATGAAGCTCTAAAATAGGAGATTGGGAACATGCATGCCTTACACAAAGTACCATCTGTTCCATAGCTATATAAAAATTTGCAAATGCAGGAGTTTTTTTAATGCAGAAAATAATTATAATTAAATAAATTGAAGCAAACATTTACAGAGATTAATGCCATGATAACTGATATTATGCAGACTGCATTTTAATGCTTTTTCAGTGGTCTGAAAAATCAGTTTTTATGCTTTATTTTGGAAAATAATGATCTATTGGTCATGAGTTATATGCTGATAGACTGTGGAAAGACAAACTGATGTCTGAAAACAGAAGTAGAATAGTATCCATTTTGAGATACAAAAACTACAAACCACAGCTTCTCTTCCTAATTCTATAAATGCTTATCCAGATACTACACAATATGATTTTCAATTACAGCTACTCATTTGCTAGATACACAAGCTAGATTGCCATTCATTTTTAAATTAAAATAAATTAATCAATTAAAGTACACTTAATGCAAACAAAGGAAAAAGAATAAAATAGAGAAAGAAGATAAATGATTGGAACAAATTGCAAATATTCTTCATCAAGGTCAGATGAAGCAGGCTCATTCCCAGTGCTGATGGCAGCACCTCTGCTCTTTTCCAAATTTTTCTTCTTTCTTTTTGCATCAGATTGGTAATGCAGGACTTTTCAGAATCCAGTTTTATTCTTCTGCATGATGATTTGCTTTTCTTTTTAATATATCATTTTATTTTTATGCTTTAAATTAAATTAATTAATGTTTATGCTGCCCATCTCCTCTATAAGGCAACTGTTTCCCCAAGCTTTACATGGGTTACCCTATATTTGCCTGGATCTCTTTGTATTCTTTTTTTTAAAATGGGGACCCTGTCATTAACTATGCTTGTTTTAATATATATTCCATTTTTCCTCCATGTCAAGCTTTTCCTTGGAGCAGAGGATAAGATATTCCTTAAACTAAATTGCTATCTATGTAATTTTGTGAAAATGACTGTTTCTTTTGACATTGCCTAGTTTATTGAACTCTGAATATTTTTATTCTTTTCTCTATATCAACTCATAAAATATCTTTCCTCTCATGGACTGTTATTTTAGCTTAAGCAGATCCTTCTCATTTTCTCTGTTCACTAAGTTATGGTCACATATCTATATTTGCTGGGCTCACTGTGTCGCATTTAGTACATGAAGAAAAATGTTTTAATATAAAGCCAAACAAGTTTCACTGGAATTGGTAGAAATATTTTTTTCACATAGTATAGTAGTTTGAGGAAATAGCCTGTGAAGAAGATTTAGTCTAAAGCACCCTAGGTTTCTTATTAAACAATCATTTGTGCATGCCACTTTCTTCCTTTTGTTTATTTAATGCTGGCACTGGCCATTATTTTTGGAAGGGCAATAGAGGTAGGAGTGTTCAATAACATGACTGGTTAGCCAAGACTAAAAATCTCCAGCCTCTTTCTTTTAAATATGTTCAAAGTGGATATGAATATCCTTTACCACTTAGAATATTAACATACTCACATGTACCTATTTTATTTTTTTTAGTTAGACCAAGAGAGAGTGATTGGCCTAAAGCCACCCAGCCAGCTTTCAGCCTAAGGTGGAACTAGAACTCACAGAGTCTCCTTGTTTCTAGCCTAGTGCCTTAATAACCATTCTAAACTCTCTCTCATGAAAAAGGAAATTAGGCAACAGAAGTTGAGAATTTTCTGCACCTTTCACATTATGAAGCCAGTGCATGCAACCAGGCCTGGATTATAATATAGCAGTCAAAGGCTATCTTGCCAGTTTGACATATGAAGCATATTTGTCCCTTTATCAGCATCTGATTGTTAAGAATAAAATAAATTCCACTTCAAAGGTGTTGGAAAAACAAAACAAGTTTTATTAAAGCGTTTGCAAAGGCTGGTGAACCTCTCTATGTACAAGCAAGAGGCCACACTTATGATTTGTTCAGCATAAGCTTTATACCTGTCTCGTAGAATATGCCACATCCTTCCTTTCCAAATCCAGTTGATAGGTCCAATCTGGTCACATGCTTTCCAACTGCCTAGCTGGTCACTTCCTGTCCCAGCGCAGAGTGCCTATCATAACTTTTAAAAACCCAAATGTTTTCTCATTTTTTTTATATAGAATGTAAGAGTAATTATTTTTTTAAAATACATTTGTATATACATTCCATCAGTTATGCAAATGGTCAGCTTAAAAATATTTGGGGAATTTAACATGATCTCCCATTGCTTGTTGATAGAAAATTATTTTCCCGTTGCATATTTTATACAATATATATATAATACATATGTAAATATACACCAAACCACAAAGAATGCATTTTATACACTAAGCTGCTCTTACCTGTGTACTAACAAATCTGAATTCCCAGTAATGATTAAATGCACTCCACAATTCACACAAACATGCAACTAGTATTAAGATATTTCCATTAGTGAATAATATTAATGTACTTGTATGCATGATAACATGCAATGCAAGCAAAATAAAACAAATATCCAAATGTTTTAAGTATAAAGCCTGCCAAGCACATTATTTATATTTTAGACATGATTCTCATGAACAAATGGAACTCTATGGGAATAGCTTATAACTGATATGCAAAAGACTACAAATTGTAGAAATATACACAAGAAAAATAATGCAATTTAATAATCTCATTGGCTAAATCTTTAAACTACCACACTAGCTTTGAGTTCAAGATTTTTGGTGTTTAGTCTCATGTGGATTTGGAACAACTAAGTAGTCTGTAATACCTTCTCTTCTAATTAGCAAACTTCATTGTAATAAAACCAAATTTTTGATATGGACAAACATGAATAGTCGCTTCTTTGTGTTAAAATTATGTCTTTTAATATAGATATTGTTGCTGAAGTATGAGGTTCTGATCTGTCCCAATGATGGGAAACACTAGTGAATTTTAAACTGAGAATAATATATTTTGATTCCTAGGACATGATATATACTAAACAATTAATGAAATAAAGTTTGTGTTATTGCTCAGGAATGTTAATGTTTTGATTCTTGCGTTTCAGAATTGTTTTTATGTCCTTTCGTTTTTAAATAATGGGAGTTTTAAAACCCACAAGCTTGTTAAAGTACATTTCATTCTGTTTCTAGATTTGTTAGCTGTGCCTAAGCATCCTTATGCTGCAATGGAGAACTGGGGATTGAATGTTTTTGTGGAGCAAAGAATACTCCTGGATTCAAGCATTTCTTCCTTATCATATTTACTGGATGTCACCATGGTTATTGTGCATGAGCTATGCCATCAGGTAGGAGATAAACAATATCTTGACTATTTTATAAATGAAATACATTTTAAATATTTTCCATGATATTTGGAAACAGTGATGAAATTGAGTTGAGCACTTTTAAATCTTGTTTATTTCTTGATATATATTTAAGGTGTGTTTAACTCTTTGAAATCAGTTGGAAATAAATCTTAATCTATCTTCAATTGAATGAGAACTCATAAATAAGCTGACACATAAACCCTTTGTTTCATACAAATTCTTTAAACCATATACACAAAATAACAACAGCATTTTCCCTTTAAACAGAGTTAATAGAGTTATATTTAAAGGAGTTGAATCGCGATAGAGATACAAAGTGATATTCCAATATCTCTGATTAGTTATTTCCAGCTCTCTTCCAAATAACTCTGCAGAGAGCTTCCATAAACCTGAAATTCCTAACATTGATCTCAGATACTGGAGCTAGCCTTTGCCTTTCAAGATAATCTACCAATTTCTCAGATTTGCACCAGGCAAATGATAAAACGGATCATAGCATTGGTCAGAGCATGTGTGTGTTTGTGTAATAAAATAGTTTTAGTAGCCTGTCATGCTTTCAGTTATGTTAAGTCCAAATGCATATAAAAATATCAGTGTTGATGGAGACTATTTAGGTATCAGTATTTCATGTTGTGTCTCAATTAAAGCATCCCTGATAGGTAGCCTGAATACATCCAGTGAAGGGAAAATCATCAATACTCTTGCTACTCTTGCCTTAAAATTAATCTGGAACATGTCTTCCTATAGTAAGATTACAATGTCATTCCTTACCTTGGAGTTTGGAATAATAAAGGACAAACAATATCTGCTCTTTTTGTGACTTCCCCTCAGATATTTTAAGACTGCTGTTATATCCTTCCTATCCTTCCCTTTTCAAGAATACAGTATAGATCCACAGTTCCTTTTTGCTGGAACTTAAAGCCCAGCCACTGTTTATTTTTTTCCTTCTTTGGGATTTCTATTGGTTATGTATTGGTCATTGTATCTCTTAAGCCTATTCTAATTCATCTGAATCCTTTGGATATGGTGGTCAACAACTGGACGGAAATGCTCTAGGTGAGATCTGATAACAGTATCCATCTCTCTGATCAGAATTCATCCATATTTCACAGAGTTCTGGAGCTTATATTATTAAACTTGTTTCTTAATCTAGGACTTGGCTAGTTTAAAAATGTTTATTACAAACAAGAATAAAAACAAACTAAAGAGTTGATTGCCCAGTACTAGTGTAAGAGTGAAACTCCCATATACTCAAAATGGTTCAAACTCTAGCTTTTTCTTCCCATTGTTCCAATGAATTAAAAAGCCCTTTGTGGGTAGATCTTGAAGTTGAGTGGTTGCTAAACTATGAATTATTGGGTCTCAGCTTACTTCTCACATCTAGAATAGAAGGATTACTTATTGCCATTTAAAAATATATATGTATATATGTTATAATCTAAACACATGTTTACCTTTTCTAGTAGCTATCTTGCATTGCTGACCCATATTTAGCTGGTATTTAACTACAATTTCAAGATCCTTCAGAAATATTATTGGCAAGAGAGGATTTTCTATTTTAAATCTGTGTGGTTTTTTGTCTTTCTAAAAAACATTAGCAACCTTCTATAATATTATTGAAAAAATAAGATATGGTTAGCCTGATATGAATTGTTCTTAAAAATCTATCTAAACTTATCTCTACCAATATCAGATTTCCCCTTCAGGTTGCCCTTCACAATCATATGATGAAACACATAGCATATTGTTGGATAACACCAGTGTAGTTGAGTAGTTCACCTTTCTTTTGTTACCTATTAGCTTTTGTCACTTTTGATGAATAGCTGCTACATTATTTTTTTATTTTTTTCTGTATATAGCTGAAGAACCCACCTTTCTTTTTAGTGTCTTTCACCAGCACTTACTTACTTTCTTTCTTTCTTTCTTTCTTTCTTTCTTTCTTTCTTTCTTTCTTTCTTTCTTTCTTTCTTTCTTTCTTTCTTTCTTTCTTTCTTTCTTTCTTCCTTCCTTCCTTCCTTCCTTCCTTCCTTCATTCCTTCCTTCCTTTTCTTTTTCTCTCCTTCTCTCCAGCCAGCTAGTCCTCCTTTCAGTTTCCCATATATGACTTTTTTATTTTTCATATCACTAAACCTTTTCACCAAGAACATTTACTTCTTTAGTCTCTGTTTATTTCTTTTCTTCTTGAGATTTCTATTGGTTATGTTTTCATTTTTACTTTTTTTTGATGAGGTGGTATATCTAGTCATTAGATTAAGGTCACAGAATTATATTCAGTACAGCTATTAGATTATTAAAAATCCACTTTCTTAAGGTTGATGTTTTTACCGACTTTAGTGGTATTATCCTTAAAAGCAAACATGATGACATCATGTCTCTTCATTTCAATATTTCCATTATTTCAATATCAGTTATTAAATCTTCTCCCCTGATTAAAGTTACCTCCCACTTGTACTTCACCCATCATCTTCTGAAGGAGATGGTCAGCAAAACAATTGAACAGCTTTCTGGATAAAAAATTAATTTACCTGGATTTTTGAAAAGATATAGAACATTCCATTGCTAAGGGTCACTCTCATGCAAGTCCACAGAGAGTTGTATTTTAAAGTTATTCTTTAAACCATTGGGTAATAACTAGATCTTTTCATTAGTCATAGAATTTCACTGATTTATCTGATTAAGGGCTCTTTGCAATTTGGTACCATACATGTTCCCACTCAGCACATTAAATATAACTCAATAAAACTGCCTCCAGAAGCGGTGAATGCTCCAACACTGGAAGTTTTTAAGAAGAAACTGGACAGCCATTTGTCCGAAATGGTATAGGGTTACCTGCCTGAGCAGGGGGTTGGACTTGATGACCTCCAAGGTCCCTTCCAACTTTATTATTATTATTATTATTATTATTATTATTATTATTATTATTATTATTATTATTATTAT